TATTTGTTGAAACTAACACTCCAGTTATAATATAATTTATATAGTGTTTTTCCTGATTTTCTGAAGAAAAAAAACTTATTTAACAAATCAAATTTATATTCTTTCATCAAACCAACTTTTCAATCATTATTGTGTTCTTTCCATCAAACTAACTTTTAAATTATTATTGTAATAGTCTCTCTTCTACCACAACTGTATTGAACATTTTAAGTTCTGGTGTGAAGGTAAGAACAGCAGCTTTGCTAGAGCATTGGACAAACACGTGGAATATTTTAAGTCTAATTTTGAAAAGTTGGTAACCGAACATGAAGAAGATCTCCAGTATAGTTTGCAGAAGGTGTTAGCCATAGACGAGACAGTTCTCAAGGATAATTTGGAGAAAGTACAGAGGTGGAAGCATGCTCTACATAAAGCTGCCGGTATAGCAGGACTGGATGTTCGTCAAACTGCCAGTGGGTGAGTACTGAGTAGCAAAAAAACCCTTGAGTTTTCACTTATTTATTGGGTCACCTTTTCATCATGTTTTGTGAAATGTTATGTGAAGTTTCAATATGAAGCGATGCTTCCTAGAATATCATGAAAATATAAAGGGTCATTTTTTATATAATTTCTGATAAGTGAAAACAAAAAGGACAAATTCCAAAACTTCAACTCTAATTGAGTTTTAAGAGCTTTTCACTTAAAGAAAGTAGATCCCTTTCCTACTTTAAAAGGTCAAATTACTGTTTAAGAAAATGGCAATGTACCCAAGTACTTCAAAGCTAGTTCATGCGATTGAGATTGTCCAAGATCATATAAGGAGACATCAACCAATTCCCTCAGCTAACATCCCTAGCACACTCAAGACTTGACATCTAGAGCATGAACAACATATCATGGGAGCTATCACTGGATAAATATGGAACAAAGATGAGCTTATCTCTTATACCATGTTAAAACAAATGGAACTTAGGCATGACCCAATCCCGAAAATTAGCTCATAAACCGAGGATCATCCACGACCATAAAAGAAGACAACAACACATTCATTGAAACAATGTGGGACGTTCTAACAATTAGTTTATGAGAATACCGTTCAGCTGGATACACAATTAAATCTTTTTTGGCTACAATACACCTTAGATGAACTGGCTAACAGATTTTTTGCCCAATGAGGGGTTTGGGGTGGAGGGGATCTCAGGGGAGAGAAGCAGAGTCATGTGAAGGTAATATGATTCAGGTTACAAGTATGCTTCTTTTAGTTCTGAATGTCAAGATTTATATGTCGGATTTGCATGTCAGTCAGGCTCATGAAATGTGTCTACATTCTGTTTAAATTCAAGCAACAGCTGGCCATACACATGACTGTGAGAGTAATTAAAGTAAAATACTTAAATGCTCTCTTCTTTGGGTTCCATAATTGCTAAGGTGCTAACAGAATAATTTTACTAAGATTGTAATGCTGAGACTCGTTAACAGGAGTAATTAATATAGCATGGTCAATAATGTATACTCTTTCATTAAATTAAATATAATGAATTTTATATATTTTGTCAGTCTAGAGCAGAAATCAGTTTAATTTCTTGTAAATAGGTTGATATGCTAAGAGGTCTTTAAGTTTCAGTGGAAGGGTGGTGTAAATGACTTTGTTTGACCTGTGCTTAATAGGAAGAAGAGTGGCTGCCGCAGTAGTATGAATAATAGACTTTACATTATGCTTGTCCTTTCATTATGCTTGATTGCACATTTGTAAAAATAAAAAAGCAACAAAGGGAATGTGGTTCCATTTTAACAGGGTAGTAGTTAGCATTAAAGACATACTTTTTTGAGTAGTAAGAAATTTGACCGGATTTAACATACAAAACCTGTGATAAGGATCAAGTCATTACTAAAGTGTAAACTACGGTATTGAGATCCATATAATTTACTAGACAAGTTGATTCTAACAAAATATTGAAAGAGCTGAACTCCTAAAAACTTGACCTCCCTCTTTTGCATCCGCCCCTCTTTCTCTCTGGACTCTTCTTCTCCTCCTATTTGACAACCTTAGAAAGTTGATATCTTCATCCCTGCCCCTCTTTTTGTCCCACTGAACATTTCCATCGCCATCTCTTTTTCCCTTCTCCTCTTTTGAGTTAACTACTCAATAGTGATCTTGTATGTTATCTGGATGAATTTCGTGTGACATAGGTTGTTCATTCTTTGTGGTTGAAGTAGATTGTAGTGGAGTGACTTTACTGGTATTTCCCGCAACAATGAGATCGATTTGTTTGGTGGTTAAATCTAGAGCAAGTAATGCAACTCAGAGTAAAAGGAGAAGAGACTCTGGATATCTTCAAGAGATCGTGGTGGTTAAATCTACTTTGAATTTGTAAATTCAACTTTTATAAATTGGTTTGAATTGTTGGGAGACCTATTATTATTTAAAACAGTAAAAATGAAATTCCTTCAGACTATGAATTCCTTGGGTTTACTACAACTAAATGTATTAACACAATTAGAATCTCATTAGGTGATATCTGATCTTGAGATAACACTGCCTGATCCAATCTCTTGATTATATACAGGCCTACCATCATTACACGATCCTAACCATTGTCTATATGGGTTCGTCAAATTAAAGTCATTAGGACCTACCCAACTTTGATTAGCTAGAGTGTTGTGTACTATGTCCACTAAATTCACCGAGTCCCTTATTAGTTTCATAATGAATTGGGCTCTAGGTTGTCATATCCCATTTCCAACTCCAGTTTCCATAATCAAATTAGGGTCTAAAAAGTAAAAACTCCATCTGAGTAAAGGCTAGAGCCCTTACGAAACTGACAAACACTAATGTAAAACAGGACAAGTAATTAAATACCTAATAAGAATCAGTGTAGTAACTTAGATACTAAGGAATTAACAAATACACCATTAAAAAGACAAATTCCATAGATAACAATGAATTAAGAGAGAAGAAATTGCAAATTAAATGTCCCAAGCTTTGAAACTTCTTCAATGTTCACTCTCAGCTCTCAAGTACAATTACCTTCTGAAATATGATACCCTCGTTCAAGTTACCACTTTTTATTTATAGTAAGCATTATTTTGCACGTGATCACGTCGCTTCCTTTGCTAAATGGGACATTTTTTCTCCTCAGTCTTCATGCAATGTATCAATTTCTTTTCTGGTGTATCATCAGATATATCCAGACTCATCTTCAATTGTTCTGGCTCCTTATGCGCCACAACACAATCATATGTATCCAGACTCATTTCTGATCTTCTTATGTTCTGACATGGCAGCTCAACATAATTTGTTGCCACACCTCATATGGAAGTGATTAAAGTTTCTGTGTCTTCATTTCACATAGCGCCTCATCATTCCTCTAATCCGTTGCTTCACGGATACTGCGTACTTTGTACAGTTCTGACTACTTTTACTAATTTCCACTACGCCATATCAAATGCTCTGGAATGTCTGCCGCTCTTTGATTTCACATGGGCCACTAAACTGGTCTTCTCTTTGTGGGTAATCTTTCTTTCTAAGCTCCTTTCCTTCCTTGAACCTCACATTCGTAATAAGTAAATATTGGCACAATGACATTCCTCAAGACCATGAACTTAAGCATAGGAAACTATAATTATGACCTAAAAGAATTATATTATCCCAAATTGTCATGATTCCACATCTAAATACCTTGAGATTGTGTTTGTCTTCCTCGGATAAGTCAAATTGTTGAACTTGCCTCTAGCCGTACCAAACCATTGTTTTACTCTCATAGTTGTTTAGGATTGTGGAGTTTATTCATATATAGAAAGTGGTGGAGAACTGTAAAACAGAAAACAAAACAGTCCATCCATGAACGAATTGATACTCGAGCTTTAGCTAGAGCCTTGAAAAATTCCCCGTTTCAAGCTCTGGGTGCACCTAGAGGTCGTACAGGCTTCATTCAGATATTGTATTAGCCGCGCTTAAGTGCCCAGAACTTTGCTTGATTCAACTCATTTGAACCCCTATGGTTAATAATCATTCAATCTGAAATAAGTTAAAACATAAACTATTAGTAAGGTAAGGTTTATTAAACTTCACCTCAAGCTTCTTTGTCAAAGTTAAGAAGGAAAAAAAACTGTCTGCATCAAATGATATATGCCCAATTATAAATCATCCCATTCTTTCTCACTGGTTATGTAACAGACACAAATTACTTATATTTTGGAATTATCTCGTTGTGTGCATTTTTCTTTTCTTTTGAAGATTTAAAGCACGCCACAAAACATCTTGATTTTCATAATAAAATGATTTCTTTTCAGTTCATGAGCATCTATCTGAATTCAATTCTTTACATTCATAAAAAAGGAGTACATATTATAATGTCTGGGTATGATAAGATCTGTCATTGATGAAAATCTAGTTGGAATTGAATCTTGTTAGGGTGAAAAGTGCTCTTTGCTGAAAAAGGGAATGGAAGTGTGCATTTTGAGTGATAATGAAATGGATTGCGTAGAGAAGACAACTGTTGCAAGAGAACTGTTTAACAAGATATTTTGTGGATTAAAAGATCCTATTTCCTTGCTCATATTGGACTAGTTCTAGAGAAGCTCTAGATGGAATATGGGCTGTTTTTGGCTTCTTCAGTTTGTTTTTTTTTTCTTTCAAAACTTTCCATTCTTATTATTATAGTTTTACTTATTGTAGGAATGAAGCAGAATCTATAGAGAAGATTATAAATGATAACTTCCAAATTATGCACCATAGCGTTTCAGCTACTGAAAAATATTTAGTGGGAATCGAATCTCGTATGGGTGAAGTAGAATCGTTATTTAAGGTTAGATCAGGTGATGTCTGTTTTGTTGGAATTTGGGGGATCGGTGGCATTGGCAAGACAACTGTTGCAAGAGCTTTTTTTGACAAGATTTCGTATCAATTTCAAGGGTCTTGTTTTCTTGCAAATGTCAGAGAAGAATCAAAGAAGCATGGGCTGACATACTTGCAAGATACACTTCTTTCAAGAATCTTAAATGAAAAAAGAATGAATATAGCAAGTTTTTATGAAGGAGCTGACATGATAAAAAGAAGGCTTTGCCACTGGAAAGTTTTAATTGTTTTTGATGATGTCGATGATGAACACCAATTGGAATATTTAGTTGGAAATCATGACTGGTTTGGTGAAGGAAGTATAATCATTACAACAACTAGAAACCAAGATTTACTACGTAGTCATGACCAGTTATATTCTGTTCCTGAATTGGCTAAAGACGAGGCTATTGAAGTTTTTAGTTGGCACGCTTTTCAGAAACAAACTCCTGATAAAGAGTTTTTGGAACTCTCCAAATCTGTAGTAGATTATGCTAAAGGCTTACCTTTAGCTCTTAAGGTCTTGGGTTCTTTTCTCTACAAACGAGGCGTAACTGAGTGGAGAAGTGCAATAGATAAACTGAAAGATACTGGGCATGAAAAAATTGTTAAGCAGCTCAGTTTAAGTCTAGATGGATTGAACCATGAAGAGAAGAATGCATTTCTTGATATTGCATGCTTCTTTAGAGGAAGAAAGAAAGATGATGTGATAACATTACTGAACAGTTTTGGCTTCCGATCAGAGATTGGAATTGATGTCCTCATCCAAAAATCACTTTTATATATTTCAGAAGGAATGGTTGAGATGCATGATTTGATAGAACAAATGGGTCGGCAAGTGGCACGTAATGTGGACCAGGACAAGCCATGGAAGCACAGTAGAATATGGCATGAACAAGATATAAAAACTGTTTTCTCTGCAGATCAAGTAAGAATTCCTCTATGCTGGATTATGTGGCCTTTACTGGGATTATATATCTTTCTTTTTTTTTTGGACAAACTTTAGCACTGGTACAATTTTTCTCAATCTAAACTGCAAGTCATGGGATAGTTTCTTAATTAATTAGTTGCAATATCTCAGCAAGTATATTCTTGTGGCTTTGAATGTTCACTTCCATATTTCTTTGCACACAAGGATGTCTCATGTAGCTTACATTTGGGAAAGGTTAGTTGCATATTATGTTTCTTAAATTGCTGTATGTGCCTTCTGAAGATTTTAACTAGAGTAGCTTATCCAATATCCATTTACTGGAATTTTAGTTTTAGTTAGGCATAATACATAAATGTACCATTTAACTTGGCCTCATTTCACATTTATGTCCTCCAACTTTGAGTGTGCACAAGTAAACACTTACACTTGTATAAAGTTGAAAAAGTAGAAACATGAGTCCTATGTGGCATAATACATGTAGGACATCACGTAGGATGCAAATTGTCATGTGAAATGCTCTCTAGCATTTAGGGGTGTTAATCAATTCACAGTTATCAAAATAATAATAGTAATAATAGTTACTTAAATTATTAGTATCAATATATATAGATATGTTATATATGTAATTAAGTATTTTGGTGTGTTACCAAAAGTTTTTAAAATGCTTACCAAATTTTTTGGTGTAGGTACAATTATTCTGTATTTATCAAAGTATGCACTCCTATTTATACCTTATACCTATTAAATATGTATTCAATAGACACAATTTATACAACATAAGATGTCATACGTACCACACAACAATGGGGTGCCAAATGATAGTTTGTGCCAAGTTCCAGGGTTGTCGATCTCTTTGATCTTGATGGAAGCTTTCTTTCTCTTACAGAAGAATTTCATGGCAAATTATAACGTGAAACATGATATATATGAATTTCTAGAATTATGAACTTTCTTTTGGAAAGTAACGGATAATTATTGTTTGACAAGTTTGGAATTTTTTTTAATTTCTTTTGGTTTAATTTAAGAAAACATAGGAAAACCTCTTAGATGATACACTATTTTTAAGAAATTATATTATTACTCTTTCGAAACTTCCAGGTATCAATTTATCAGTTTTTCAAGATAGTTGAATTTAGTGTCTCAAGGAAAAGAACTTCTAATGTAAACACATGTCTCAGAACCTTAAATTGACTGGAGAATGAATTTCTGTTTAATAGAGTTTTTTTTTTTTTCCAGAGGACAGAATCTATTAAAGGCATAATGGTACCAATTGGCTCAGACCAACATATATGCAAGTGGAGCAAAGCTTTCAGAAACATGCCTTGTCTTAGGTTACTCATTGTCAAAGGGGAGGAGGTCTGGCATCATGACCTTATTTGTGACCCTATTGAGTGTCTCCCTAGTAACTTGAAATGGCTTGATTGGTCATACTACAGTTTTGAATCTTTACCAGCATATTATGAACCAGGAAACCTTGTTGGGCTCCACATGACTTTTAGTTCTCTTGTTGAAGTTTTCAAGGAGCCAAAGGTATTATTTACTCCTTTAGAAACAAATCATATGTGAAAAAAAGAATCATTGCTAAAGCTGAAGTTTCTATTCATTCTCTCTTTATGAACAGGCATTTGATAAGTTGACAGTTCTCAATTTAAGTTTTTCTAAAAATTTAATCCGAACGCCCAATTTTTCGGATATTCCAAACCTGCAGAGGATTATACTGAAAAGCTGTGTAAGCTTGGTAGAAGTTCATCCATCCATTGGCCATCTCAGAAAGGTTGTCTTTTTGAATATGGAATACTGCGAAAGTCTCAAATCTTTACCAAGCAGTATTCAAATGGAATCTCTTAAAAGCTTCAATCTCTCAGGTTGTGAAAAGTTGGAGAAATTTCCAGAAATTCAGGGAAATATGGAATTACTGTCAGAGCTCCTTTTGGCACATACTGCAATATGGGAACTTCCATCATCAGTTGGACTGCTCAGTGGATTTGCATTCATGTAAATACCTTGTAAGACTCCCAGCCAGTGTCTCTGAGATGAGAAAACTGAAAATTTTGACTGTGAAAGGCTGCTCAAGACTTGCACACTTCCCTGAAAATCTAGGTGATCTAAACCAGTTGGAGGAGCTCTATGCTGGTAACACTGCCATTTGGCAACTACCAGATTCTCTTGGAAACTTAAGCAAACTTAAAGTCCTATCGTTAAGAAGAGGCCGGAAGGTAAAGTATCAAGCTGGTGGCAGTTTAATGCTACCCCCATTCTTGGAGTTTCATGGTTTGAGGGAATTGAAAAGCTTAGATCTCAGTGGATGCAATTTATCTGATAACCAAACTGCTGCTCTTATGAACTTGCCTTCTTTACTAGAACTGAATCTGAGCAGAAACAAGTTTATTTCATTACCTGATATCATCAGTCGACTTTCTCAGCTTCGATATCTCAACATAACACAGTGTCAGGAACTTAAGGAACTTCCCAAACTACCTCAGAGTATAGAGGAATTATATGCAGAAGATTTTTTGGCCAAGCAAAGTATCGCAAAGCTACAAATGTACCCGAGGTTGAATTTGGTGTCATTCACCAATTACAGTTTTGATCAACAACCTTATACAAAGGAGAGCAATGGTAGCTCAGTTTTGGATGAGATTCTCGGTTCGTTTCTTTCACTCAACATGGATAATGTGGTCCAGTCCTCTCTCAACTCCAATTACAGGGTGACTTGTTCCATCGTCTTTCCTGAATGTGCAATTCCCACGTGGTTTAGGCACCAGAGTGTTAAGGAAAAGATGTTGCTTGAACTTCCTATTAATTGGTATAATGATAAGTTCAAGGGCTTTGCTATATGCTGTGCCACTCTCATGGGAGCAGGTGTGTTGAATCCTGATTCAGGGCTATCCAAGAAGTATGATTATGCTTTCGTCAAAGCTAAATTGATATGCAAAGATGATTTAGAAGACCTTAAAGTGCTAGAGAAAGAATGTAAAGTGGGAACAGCATCTAGAACGTATGGCTTGTGTGTTTGCTTTGTCTACATACCATTGTATGCTTCACTGCAGGTGTCCGGCACAGATGTTGGAAATATTAACCAGTATAGCCTATTTGAGGCATCTATCCATTGGCGCATTGTGAGACAGTGGGGAGTTCATATGATCTATGAGGATGAAAGTACATTCTTTGCAGAAAAATATGGAAGTGTTGGTTTCACACCACTTAAGCTGAAGAGAGGCTAAATTAGCTCTATATGCTGGGATATTGAGGGAATTACCAAGAAACCGAATTTAAGGTAACTCAATGCCTATTATTATTGAAGTTTAATAATTTGAATTTTGAATACAGTTAGATTAACAATTTCATTTCAATGTGGTTAAGTATTAGGTTAATAATGTTGGTAAAGATTAGGCAAAACTAATGATTTACTTAGCATTAATGAATTAATAAGGCAAGTCAATAATTACATTAAAATTATTAGCAAATGGCAGTTAACAGGTTTGAAAAATATATAAGAGTCAATCTGATAGCTTAATAGTTATACCAATATAATAGTTACATTTTTTTTTTTTACCTAGATAGCTCTATATGAGGCATGTCTCACCCAAGACAACATAAAGAAAAGAAAAATATAGTTCCCAAACAGATGCTATATGTGCAAAAAAGAGGCTGAAACCCCCAGACACCTTCTTCTTCATTGTGAGGTGGCCTCAGAATTATGGAGCATGTTTTTTTGTCTCTCTAGCATCAATTGGACCACACCCCTCACTGTTAAGGATGCATATGAGAGTTGGAGTCTATGGAAAGTTGACAAAGCCATCAAGAAGATCTGGATTATGATACCTGCTTGTATTTTTTGGTGTATTTGGTTAGAGAGGAACAAGAGATGTTTTACTAACTCATTAGCTCTGGCTTAGATAGTTTGTATAGTTAGCCAGAGATTTTTTTTGTAAGCTCAAATGCCATATCTTGTAAATTTTGCATCTTCTTGATGTTGTTATTAATACCACTTATCTTATAAAAAAAAAATAGTTACATTTTAAATCACATTATTCTTGATGTTGTATATCCTCGATCATTTTTGTAGCAACCAATTCGAAATAAACTAGTTGATATACTGACCTTCAAGCGGGAACCTAATATTAGGGATGGTTGTAGAACAAATCTTCAAAATCTAAAGTGTAATAGTACCTCTTCCTTGTTAAATTTACTGTATAATATTACAATTAAGAATTAAATTAATATGAATGTAGCAGTAGGAGTTTTAGAAAACTAAAGCCTGTATTAGGCACCACCAAAGGTTGTGATAGGGTGGTAAGTACCCTTGTATCCTAAATCACAGCTCTTGGATTTGAGCCCTGGGATTTGATTGGAGGCACTTTACCCCTCAAAATAGGATTTACCTGCACAAATTCATATTAGTCAGGCCCAGAGGCAGTGTCATTTGTTTGAGCTCAAAGAGGAGACGAACATTTAGCAACCCGTCCTATATATTCTGTATGTATCAGGTGCATCCTTTTTCTTTTTCATTATTCTTAATGTTTCTCCTTGTAAATATTAGTTCTATGTTCTTTCCGATCCTTTATATTGGGT